AAGAGGACGATATACAGAGGTGCATGGGAGGCAGAGACAACAAAGATGAACACTTCAACACATACAGTCCTGCATTGTCAGTGATATCAAACATTTATACACAGGTGGATAAAGGAATGGATAGGAGGTCTGGTTGCGTAGCGTCTAAGGCATTTATTTGACTGCTTACTAGAAAGCTGGCGGTTCAAACCCACCAGCCACTCCTCGGAAGGAAGGTTTGGCAATCTACTTCTTTAGTGATACTGCCTCGGAAACCCAAGGAGGGGTCGCTATGAGTCGATCCGACTTCACAACAGGGCATTTGGTTTTTAAAGGAGTGGATAGGATGAACAATTAGGTACGACTATGCAGGGGGACGTGTGCCCATGACCATGTACAGGGCTGGCAGACAATGTTTCCACAAGTGTATTTTTACTTTCTGTAAGAATTTCCAGGTATATAGCAGAGCTGACAAGGGGCAAGGTTGTAGTCATTTCTTGGCCACAGCCAACCACCCAGAAGGAATGAGTAGTTGGACCTGTGGGTGCAGGACCATGGTTACAGGGGAAATCAAGTTCAATTAGAATAACATACTACACAAAACATTGTTCCACATCCTATTTTGGCGAGTAGCAACTGGGATCTTAAAAGCTTTCAAGCCGCCATCTAGATGCAACAATGGGTCTCTCCTCATCTAGAGCAAAGAGAAGAATGATGAACACCAAAGATTCATGGAAACAATTAGTCCAAGTGACTGGTACACCATGCGATCCTCAGCCTATATGATGAGACCAGAACAACTAGATGGTGCCTGGCTACCACGGTCAACCACTCAGAGCATGATCTATGTAGAAAATGTGGATAGAGTGGGAGAACAATGTGGAACAAAACTCAAAATCATAAAAAAAAAAAAAAAGGGGGGGGACCAGATTTGCTAGTCTGATAGAGCCTGGTGGAACCACTGAGACTATGGCCCCCAACTACCCTTCAGGTCTGGAATTGAACCCACTCCTGCAGCTTCCAGCCAAATAAAAGACAGGCATATGAGCTGTCCTATGGGATATGAACATTTACATTAGGTAGACACACTCCTTGGAGAGATCAATCATGGGAGAACAAAAGGGCTATGCGTGTACGGGAGACAGCTTGGGGGCAGGAATGCATGGGAGGGAAGGACACAGGCAAGAGATAACTATGGGGAGGAAGTGGGAGGGGAGCTATTGCACTTTGGAAAATTAGAGTCAATGTCAATGGGACAAAGTGTATGTGAGCTGCTTGTATGGAAAGTGAAGTTGCTCTGTAAACGTTCACCCAAATCACAATTAAAAAAAGAAAAAGATTTTAAATCCTACAAATAATCAGTATGCTTTTGCAAGATTTAGACACACATACACATCCTCAAAAGAAAAATGTCACTTTGAAGACAAAGGTGCACCTGATCCAAGCCATGCTATTTTCAATTACTTCATATGCATGCAAATGCTACACAATGAATAGAGAAGTAGAACTGATGGCATTTGCATGTGTTAGTTAAGAATACTGAATCTACCGTAGACTACCAGAACAAACTGATCTGTCTCCGAAGAAGTACAACCAAAATGTTCCTAAGAAGTAAATATGGCAAGATTTTGTCTCACCTACTTTGGACATGTTATCAGTAGGGATCAGTCCCTGGAAGGGATCGTGCTTGGTAATCGATTAGCAAAAAAAGAGGAAGGCCCTCAATGAGATGGATTCACACAGTGGCTACACAATTGTCTCAAACATAGTGATGACTGTGAGGAGGGTGCAGGACCAGGCAGTGTTTTGTTCTGTTGCTATCAGTGGGAAACAACTCCACAACATCTAACATCCACCACAACAAAGAGATTCCTCAAAGGCTAAGAGACATTATAAAGTGATATTTACATAGCATTTACATTGTATTATGTATTATAAGTAATCTAGAGATGATTTAAAGTACAGACATATCTTATTTTATTGTGCTTCACTTTACTGCACTTCAGATAACTGCATTTTATAAAAATTGAAGGTCTGTGGCAACCCTGCATCATGGAAGTCTACTGGTGCCATTTTTTCCCAACAGCATGTGCTCACTTCATGTCTCTGCCACATTCTAGTAATTCTCATAATATTTCAAACATTTTCAAAATGCTATTGTATACATTACAGACTACAGTATAATATTAACATAACTTTTATATATACTGGAAAACAAAAAAAATTCACATGACTAGCTTTATCGCAATATTCGTTTCATCTGAAGTGTTCTGGAACCTAATTTCCAGTATCTTCAAGGTGTGTCTCTATATAGGAGGATGTGAGTAGGTTACACGCAAACACTATGCCATTTTATTTAAGGGACTTGAGCATCTGCCCATTTTGGTGTCCTCAGGGGATGAGAGGCAGGTCCTAGAACACATCTCTCATGGATACTGAAGGATAAATGTGCTCTACCCAAAGTTTTTTTTCCCCTCTCTAAATATGTTTAGGATTATTACAAATAGAAAGTTTAAAAGACACATACATTACGAGCCTAGATGGTTTCTTAAGATACCTCTACCTCTAATATTGAAAGATTCCATAAATATGTAAAGTTTACAATATCCTGTAAAGTTGGTAAATATTCCACCTACATTTTGTAAAATTCAGCAGCAGAGATGCGATTTGCCTAAGTGTTACCCAGGGTATCAAGTAGCTGGGAAGGGATCAGAATTCAGGTTTAATGACTGACCATATGATACTCTGTTATTAATATACTAACTCTTAAAAACGCCAAAGAAAGCATGTGTAGGCACTACCAGTTGCAAATTATTTTTCTACAGATATAGAAAATATTGTTGTGGATCAATTTTTTAATTCAAAACTTGATAAATCTTATTTCAATTCTTATATCCTAAAACAATTAAAAGTAAAAATCCAAAAATCTAGTTCTATGCTAGTAAGTTCTTAGAGACATGTGAAAACTGTATTGGAATGCAAATTAACCACTAGGAAGAGTGAGGGTTTTGTTCTAAAAAGAAAAACTTCAAAGATTTCTATAATTAAGAAATTTCTACTTTTATTTCTTTATATAGTTTCCATCTTAAGACCAGTAGAGGTCTTATATTTGGGCTCCAAATAACTTAAACTATGTAATTTATTTATAAAATCAATGTGGATTTTGTTGTTGTTATGTGCCGTAGAGTCGTAGAGTCGGACCGACTCATAGCGACCCCTCCTTGGGTTTCCGAGGCAGTATCACTATGGAAATGGATTGCCCAACCTTCCTTCCCGAGGGGTGGCTGGTGGGTGTAAACCGCCAGCCTTCTGGTTAGCAGTCAAATGCCTTAGGCACTACACTACCAGAGCTCCTCAATGTAGATAAGATATACAAAAAATCCTACACAAATAATAAGATAACGAAATATAATTTTTAGAAGTCTTTTATTTTCTACTTTACTAAAAGTAGATTAGCAATCCATCATTCCTTTAACTTCTATATGAATTAGTTATAATCTCTTGGGAAATAAACTCATGAGGAGCTCTGGTAGCATAGTGGCTAAGACACTTGCCTGCTAACCAGACAGCTGGCGGTTCAAACCCACCAGCCACTCCTTGGAAGGAAGGCTGGGCAATCCTACTTCCACAGTGATACTGCCTCGGAAACCCAAGGAGGGGTCGCTATGAGTCGGGTTTGACTCGACGGCACATAACAACAACAACAACAACAACAACAACTAAATTGTACACACAATGGAATACTATGCAACAGTGAAGAATAACGTAGAATCTGCAAAACACTGCATAACATGCATGAGCTTGGAGGCCATTATGCTGACTGAAATAAGTCAATCAAAGAAGGAGAAATACTGTATTAGTTCATTATTGTAAAAAGTCAAGGAAAGATTTATATATGGAAGAAAACTTTGTTGGTTACCAGGAGTGGAAGGAAACTTTCTTCATTGTTTATCAGCGGTGGGAAGAGGGAAGGGAACAATGCAAAAATAATAATAATAATAATAATTAACAACAACAACAAAGAAGATTACTATGTTGAATTTGGAGTAGTTCTTACTACATATATTTGCATATGCATACAAATGGTAAAAAGCAAGATTTAAAACCAATGGATCTTCATTTTCTTATTTTCAATCACAGCTAAAATATACACCAATTTTCTTAGCTGAAGTTTAATATTTGACTTATATGCTTTAAAAGTATATCAAAATGTAGCTATAAAAATGTAATATAATAACTAGTAGCCATTAAAAAACCAGAGGAATAGTTGAAATTGAAATATATGGTATACTGATGTGTGTAAAACTGTAATATACACAGAAATCACACAAAGTCATACAGTATTAACATTTACTGCACCCAGGTGATGAGATGAAGAATGGACCCCCCCCTCCCTTTTTGAGAAAGATCTTTTAGGTTTTTTTTAGTTTTTTTATTGTGATTTGGATGCAAATTTATAAACAAGATTCATTTTACTCTCAACAGTTCATACACATTTACAATCACAACAATAAACAGCTTTTTCCCATCTCCTCCCTGTGACTACCCTTTCCCTATTTCCTTATCTCCATACTCCTGTGGGTCCAGCTTTCCCCTATGCAAATGCTACTCTTCTGATCTCTCAGGATCATCTAAGGGATGCATGTCCCTGCAGCAGGTGTTCTGCTAGTAGACCTTTCTATTTCACTAAAACCTAATCCACAAAATTGAGTTCAGTTCCAGGCTCCAAGGATAACCTGGAGCCACAGTCGTGGGCGTTTCATCAGTCTCTACCTGATTAGTAGTTCTCATCATTTTTGTATTTTTAAATTTTGTTCCACATTCTTACCCCTACTCTATCCAGGATCTCCAATTTTGATTCTTTTCCCAATGGTTGCATTGCTAGCTATATATCATCTAGTTCTTCTGGTTATATTTTCTAATGTTTTTTATTATAAATATCTGTTGTAAGGAAGTATCCACGAGCCAACATACTATGGCTATGATGAAACAATCTATGATTAATCTCAGAACTGAATTACCTGACTCAAAGCTGGGACAGAACTTGTCTGAGAAGTGGTTTGAGATATAGGACCATTCATCTATAAATTGAAAATATCAAAAACATCATCACCACAATGTAAAGAAAACATTTTTAAACCAAAGTAATTAAGCAAAATAAAAGCCACAGAAAACAGCACATTTTTATATGACAAAGAAATTTGATGAGATAATCAAAATAATTTAAGATTTGAAGTTTAAATATTTTAAAATTCTTACTGATAATCATAAGCAAAATTCCTTGTAATTTTAATAGGGAATATAAGAAAATCTACTTTTTCCAAAACTGTTTAAAAACTTTAAACATTATTACTTGACATGATAAAATCTTACAATGAATTGAAGGCAGATGGAAATTGAAAAGAAAAACTATTAAGACCCCAATTAATTTTTAAAATATACACTAGTTTTAAACTAAAATGGTTGTAATGTTATTCAAGTATTTACATATCATTGCATCTTTATTAGTGATTTTAAAATAAAAGCTTTAAGTATCCAGAGCTATAAAACTATTTATTTTCCCCATCACCTAATAATTGTAGTTTTCTCTACTAAACTAGCCACACCACTGCAAAAAACAATTGTTCCCTAGTCCGTTTGACTAAGAGTGATCCTACAGGACAGAGTAGAACTGTACCATAGGGCTTCCAAGACTGTAATTGTTAAGGGCAGGAGTCCCTGATGGTGGAGCGGTACAGCAGTTAGGGGTTAACTGAAAGGTTCGTGGTTCAAATCCATTGATGGCTTCATGGAAGAAAGATGTGGCTATCTGCTTCAGCGCTTCCTTAAATATTTCTAGCCTTGGAAACCCTGTAGGGCGGTTCTATTCTATCCTATAGGATCGACAGGAGTGTGGATTTGACTCAATAGCAATGTTTATTTTCAATTTATTTTTTATCTTTACAAAATCAAACTGCCACATTGCTCTCCCATAAACTGGCTATTGGATTTGAACTGCTAACCTTTTGGTTAGCAGCTAAGTGCTTAACCATTATGTCCCCAGGGCTCTTTCTTCTCTACTAAACTACTCATAAATATTCTCTGAATATAGTATTTATATCAAAGAAGTCTAGTGTTATTATTTTGATTATGTTATTAAAGTCAATGTAGGTTTTTTTTTTTTTTAATCAGAAAGAAAAGAAATAAACCAATTCTAATTAAAAAAAGAAAATACTCACCAGATGAGAACTGTCTTTCACTTCTTGTACTTGCTGTACCTGCGGTTCAGCCACAACTTTAGTGTCCTGATCAGAAGTCATGAGCTGTTTACTTTTTGGCTCCAACTGGGAGAAGTTTAATGTTAACCTTAGGATGCTGTAAAATGACAAAGACAGTAAATAGGTAATTTCAAATGCACAGTATAACTGATTCTTGAAATGAAATAAATAGAATTCTAGAAATAAGAATATATACTATATATATCTATTTGCTCAACTCCAAATTATAGTTTTTGACCAGTCTCCATTAATTTCATTTTGGCGAAGGACAACAGCTTTTAGGACCAGATACACATAATTTATTTAAAAAATAATCATTTCAGAATTCTGAACCACAAGAAACTGAAAACAGTCTGAATATAATAATACAAATACTATTTATAGTATTTGTGAAATAATTTACTCAAAAGCTAGGAATTAAGCTTCATAAATAATATCTCAATTTTCCCAATAATTAACTATAGTTCAGGGAGCTCTGGTAGCGTAGTACCTAAGGCACTTGATTGCTAACCAGAAGGCTGGCGGTTCAAACCCGCCAGCCACTCCTCAGAAGGAAGATGGGGCAATCTACTTCCGTAGTAATACTGCCTCGGAAACCCAAGGAGGGGTCGCTATGAGTCGGGTCCGACTCAACGGCATGTAACAACAACAACAACATAGTTCAGAAGGCATGAGTAACTTTCAAAATTTCATACCCCAAGTGGCAGAACCAGGAGTCCTAAATATCCAAGTCTGACTTTAAAGCATTTTTTCTTTTCACTACAAACTACACAACAATAATTTAATTTAATCAAGGTATCTTCACAGGCAATTCTAAAAACATGTGTTATCACAGGACCAAAAAAGAAATTTGAAAGCATATATATTTAGTTTCTGTAGGTAACCATGTAAGCTTTTGCTTGCTGTAATGACACTTCCTCTCAGTAACCTGCTCATGATAAATTCTCAAAACACCCGTTAATAAAATAATCTGATAATCAGAGGCAATCTCATCCAATTATCAAATGGGTATCATCATATCCCTGGAAGTCTTCTTAAAATCAAACAATAGTTTAGTTAATGTCTGCCTTGAGCATCATGTTCTTTTAAGAACAATCTTCACAGGATCACATTGACAACAGCAACCTGAATTATTAGAAAGGAATCTTAGGGGACAGTAAGTTTATGTTAATGAGGGAGGAATAACAGAAAAGGAGGAATACACAACTTGAAGAATGTAACCAATGTCACTGAATTGTACATACAGAAAAAGTTGAACTGGTGTATGTTTTGCTGTGTATATTCTCAACAACAACAAAACTTGGGGGGAGTGAAAAAATAAGAAATTATTCCTTGAGGTCACCTGTTAAATAACATACTGTAGCATGCTTCTTTCTTTTTTTTTTTTTTTTGGGGGGGGATCATATATAAAAGACCAAATGGTCAAAAATTACTTTAAAGCAAAGATGAGAAGTTAAGGGGGCCAAGGAAACTAGAGTACTGAAAATGGTATAGCTAGAACAAAATGAATGACAATAATGACACACAGTGGAAAATATAATCAATACCAATGAATAGAATAGAAATTACAGTAAACGGGAACTTAATATGCTGTGAGAAGCCCTGTGGTTCTAGTGCTCAGCCGCTAACTGAAATGTTGGCAGTTCAAACCCACCAGGCACTCCCTGGAAAAAAGATGAGGCAGTCTGCTTCCATAAAGATCTACAGCCTTGGAAACCCCAAAGGGCAGCATTTTTACTCTGTCCCATAGGGTCTCTATGAGTTGGAATGAACATGACAGCAGTGAGCTGATTTGCTGTGTATACTCTCACCTTAAACACAATAAAATATATTTTTTAAAAGTATATCATCAGGAAATGCAAATTAAAACCACAATGAAATATACCATTTAAACACCACAAGCGTTACCAAGGATGTGGAGAAACTGGAACCCTTATAAGTTGTTGATAAAATGTAAAATGGTGAAGTACTAAAAAGATAAATATGCTAAATTTTAAGTTATGTATTTATTTTAATATGTGTGTATCTTCTGCCTATAGTCAATACAATTTTTTTTTTTAATTATGGTATCAATGTCTTCTTTTTAAGCAAAAAAGTGACTCCATTTAAATAAAACATATTAAAGACATAACAGTATAAATGCTACCTCGAAATAGTAAAAAAATCTTCAAAGTGATAGGTGAATGACAGATATCTGGAAAACACAGATTTAGGGGACATGTGATTTTGAGATTCTATATAAGTAGTTCTCAATCTTCAGACTGCGAAGGAACTGTTTCAAGTGCTGAGGAGCAAGGATATCTCCTTGAGGACTAAGGTGCGCCTGACACAAGCCATGATATTTCCAATTGCCTCATA